CATTTTTACCCCAATTTGATCATTCCGTTAAAATCTTACCGTTATCTCACGACAATTTAATGACATGTCAAATATTTGAGACACGTCAGTTATATAAATGACTAAATAATGACATGGCAACGTGACGTGACATGTCATGTCTTTGCCCAACCCACCAAAATTACGAATTTGCCATCATCTTCTTCCTTGAGCAAACAAACCCAGCTCCTGGGTTGAATTGAACCCAAACAACGCCCTTTTTTTTTCCTTCCTCTTCCTTGCCTTGCTTTCTTCATCATAATCAAACACCAAACCCACAGAAAAAATATATATGTTCTTCATCATCATCTCGAACCTAGGCGTGCTGGGTTCTTCGAACCCACGCCTGGGTTCCGTTGAACCCATGCTTGGGTTTTGTCGAACCCAGGGTCGGGTTCCATGGAACCCAGCTGGTTCCAAGAACCCAGCCCATTATCTTTTTCCTTGAGTAAACAAACCCAGCACCAAACAAACCCAGCACCTGGGTTTAATCGAACCCAAACAACGCCCTTTTTTTTTCCTTCCTCTTCCTTGCCTTGCTTTCTTCATCATCATCAAACACCAAACCCACAGAAAAAATATATATGTTCATCATCATCATCTCGAACCCAGGCGTGCTAGGTTCTTCGAACCCACGCTTGGGTTCCGTTGAACCCATGCCTGGGTTCGACAGAACCCAGGGTTGAGTTCCATGGAACCCAGCTGGTTCCAAGAACCCAGCCCATCATCTTCTTCCTTGAGCAAACAAACCCAGCACTTAGGTTGAATCGAACCCAAACAACGCCCTTTTTTTTTCCTTCCTCTTCCTTGCCTTGCTTTCTTCATCATCATCAAACACCAAACCCACAGAAAAAAATATATATGTTCATCATCATCATCTCGAACCCAGGCGTGCTGGGTTCTTCGAACCCACGCCTGGGTTCCGTTGAACCCACGCCTGGGTTTTGTTGAACCCATGCCTGGGTTCGACAGAACCCAGGGTCGGGTTCCATGGAACCCAGCTGGTTTGAAGAACCCAGGCGTGCTGGGTTCCGTTGAACCCATGCCTGGGTTCGACGGAACCCAGGGTCGGGTTCCATGGAACCCAGCTGGTTCGAAGAACCTAGGCGTGCTGGGTTCTTTGAACCCACGCCTGGGTTCCGTTGAACCCATGCCTGGGTTCGACGGAACCCAGGGTCGGGTTCCATGGAACCAGTTGGTTCGAAGAACCCAAGCGTGCTGGGTTCTTCGAACCCACGCCTGGGTTCCGTTGAACCCATGCCTGGGTTC